AAAAAAAATATGATTAACAATTTCTAGGGTTATTTACGTAACACCAAAAAAATTGCTATTTACAAAATTATTACTACTCGTTAAGTAGCCGATGCTCAAATCGATCGTTAAGCGAGCCGAACACATTGTTCAAGCCTGAATTATAAAAGAATCGAACATGAACAACCCTTTGCTCGATGGCGTTCGACTTGTTTTAGCTCAAAATAAGAAAATTATATACATTAATTCTATAATAATATATTACATATATTTATATTTACATCTGATCATCACAACTTAACTTCTGTAGTCAAGATGATTTTGCCCTTTCTATTGCAACACCCTAAATCTATTTTTCTAATGGATTTAAACAAGCCAATTTCGAGCAGAAAATGAGCCCAGCCTGAGCTCCTTCAAGCTCAACAAGTTTGCAACCCTAGTTAACCGCGCCACAATCAAACTATTGCGAATTGGATTAGTAAAAAAAAAAGACGAGTAGATATCAAAATCTTCGAAAACAATTTTAAACAAACTCAACTCGAATTCGACTCAATAGTTCAAAGTCAGACTCAATATGACCCCCCCTAAATCAAAATTAGCAGGCTCATGGGCTCCACTTCTAATTAAAACTTTTCTATCAATTCACCAAATTTCAAATTTACAGATTCAACCTTCCATCTTATAGCTACTGAATGTTACAGCCGCCGGGCTCTTGCGCACGGCGGATATTGCCATAAGCAGAGTGTTCTATAAGATCTAAATCCCTTCCTGCAGTTATTTGAATGAAAAAAATAAAATAAAATAAAATAATGATTGAGAATTCTCACATTTCAAACAAATCTTATTCTCAAAATCAACCTCCCACCATAAAATTTCTGAAAAATAGCAAAAAAAGGCAATTTATTTGAACTGTTGCAATTTACAAAAATAGCACTAAAGCGATTTATTTGAACTGGCGAACTGATGCATTCACGTGTGACACGATCAAATCATTGAGAATTTGATAAAAATAAAAAGAAAATACGGGTTGCAGCTTTATCCTGAAATTTGATATTTCAATGAAAATTTGAAAAATAGATGAAAGAGGGTTACAAATTTGTAAATTGCAAGGTTTTGAGTGCAATGCATGTAATTACGCCGAAAGATTAATGATAGATAACATGATTTTTTAAAAATGTCTTTTTTCTCGCAACAATTACTGTTAAGACAGAGAGGGATGAGAATCGAATGAAGAGGTAACATACCTGATACTCTACAATAAGCACTCTTCTGTATGAGGTCCGACTTAGATAACTCTGTTTTGTTTCCTTTTGAACGGTTAACAGTAGCCTGCAAATGGAAGGAAATATAAGGGGGCAATTGAAAATTAAAACTATAATTCCTGGTGGTCAAACCTGTCCATTATATAATAGCTCATTGATCAAGTTATTTTATTTTTATTTTTGTTTTACAAAATTTAGAAACAAGAGTGAAGAGTTCAAGGAGATGCTGCTCTCCTTGCTCATGACATTATGGGCAATGCAATGGTATAGTTGAAAATTCTTAGCCAATAAGTACAACTAAACTCGCTAATTAAATGAACTCGAGCTCGAGGTTGAGCACATCGGCTTGCGAGTTTGAACTCAAGAGTGTTATGGTAAATAAAATTAAACGAGCTCGAGCTCCAACATAAACAAATTTCAAATGCACACTTGGCTTCGTTTGGCGCAGCGGTGCGTTGGCCGTTTGGGTAAACTACATTTTGACAACTTTTTGAAAAAGCTGCCGCTGAAATCAGAGCTTTCTTGCTGCGGTCAGACTTCTTTAGAAAAAAGCAGTTTTTTGTAATATCAGATTATTCTTTAGCTGCTTCATAACAACTTTGTAATAAGCTGCAGCTGCCTCAAACGGAGCCGTACTCAAGAGAGTTATGCTAAATAAAATTAGAATAAAAGTTTAGAGGATATAAAACATGCACAGGAGGAGTTCGCTGTTTTCAATGGGATACTTGAATGCTTTTATGGTGGGGAACGCAATGTAGAAGGATCTTCATTTTGTAGGCATGATTCCGCATAAATATTTGAGTAAAATGTACTTGACCAGAAATGTATTATGTGAAACTAACAGATTAAAATAGGATACATATGCATCGAAATTAAGTAATTTTTTTAAAAAGAAATACTGTAAAGTCACTGATAAAGCCAACTCTGTTTTGTAAATATGAGGTTTTAGTAGTAAAAAAATCACTAATAATTAAATTGAACATGGTAGAAATAATATTATTAAAACGAATATGAAGCAAAAAATACAAAAAAAATACATGATAGTGAAAATTAATTAACATAATTTGAAAATATACAATTAAAAATAAAAAAATGAAAGAAAATTTTTTTCCAGCATTAAAAGTACAAGAATCTCTGAATGCAAAACTTCTACATGTTGTAAGGAAAAAAAAAGGAAGATTTACAAGCACACCACTCAAATCTTATATATTTACATATCTAACATCTAAACTTCAATTTTTACATATATGCCACCTTACCCGTACATGAAAAGGTTCATTCACTTTAAAAAAGTTAAAATAATAGTATTTTTGATGTGATGGGATGTGAAAGATTTGGGTGAAATAAATGTAAAAATCAAAGTTTAGGCCTTGGATATGTAAATGCATAAGAATTGGGTGGTATGTAT